AAGATGTCAGGTGGAATGCCTTCTTGTCAGCAATAGCAATCTTTATATCACTGGTTATTGGTGATGAGTTCTGCTTCCTCACCTGTTGAAGTGTGAACATTAGAGAAGCACACTGAGGCGAGCATATAAAGCCAGGTTTATTTAAGGAGTGACGACTTCTCTTGGAAGGGAGAAGAAGCCAGGCGTTCTGCCCTTTTTATATGTCCTAGGATTCCTTTCTTCTCCGGCTCTCTTCATCTTATCTCTCTCCTTCAGGTGTAGGTGACTACCTCCGGGAATGCTTGGTGGGATGGCCGAGAGTTGGGAAACAGGTGTGCTGAAAGGGGAAGGCACAGAAGGAGTAGCCCACGACACATTAATTAACAACTTTATAGCTCCCTGTAAGGAGGGACATTTCCTAGGATTACCTTAGCAACAGGTTGAAACGGGCAGGTTCTAGATAAGGGTGGAAGAAGGGCTCAAAGGAATGAACATTTCAATCCCTCAGAGGACTGTTTTCAATTTACCACACTCACTCAAAATTGGCCTTCTTGATCCAACCTGACTCGATTTACCTATCTCTACTGTCTGTCTAATTCTGGCTTTAACCACTCTTAATAATTAACACTTAGAATAGAAACCACTCCACAAATGACTGAGCCTTCAGCTACAAATCCAGCCATCTAGTTTGAAAGAAAATCTTCAAAAAAAAAAAAAAAATTTCCTAAATATATTGCACACCATCACACTGTGAACTCACATACAGGGGTCCAGCTAGAAAACCCAAGTGTATACTTATCATTTAAATTTGTAAAACTTCATGCATTCTGTCCTCCCCCCCCCCCCAAAAAAAAAAAACAAAAAAACAAAAAAAAACAGGCAAAAACGTTAAAACAGTTTTCATTGTCAAAACGGAATGATCCCTCTGAAGAGCCTTTTTTTTTTCAGTTCTGGGGAAATAATATATTTGAATTATTCTGACATCAGATGGAGCAAGCACACTAGATGTTCTTGGTATGAAAATGCCCTCTTGGATGGGATACCATGCACATTTGTGTCCTGGATAAAACCTATGATGTAGGCAGCCTAGGGACTTGGCGCCTTCTTCTTGGTAATTCGAAAAGCCCGCCCTGCAAAGTGATTGGGTAGCTTTTCYCTTTGTTCTCGTTCTTATTTTTAATATTTCTTTTGTAACAATAATGCATGACATTTCTCTATAGGAATTGGGATACCAGGAACCTAATTTTTCCTCCTACTTTTACTAATGTTTGAATCATAAAATGTAATTAAACACAATGCACTGTTGCAGGGTCAAAAACGAGCACTTTCCTCAAGTGTTGGGATCTATTAATTGTAGCTTCAAAAAATACAATGAAATGAAAAATGAAGCTTAAACAYTCAGGCTTAACGTATTCCAGCACTTTTAAAGGAATTAGTGGGTGGCTCTGAAAAGAGCCTTTGATTTCGGAGAATAAGGAGTACTGCAAAATTGTAAGCTTCTCACTTTCCCTTCGCCTTATGATGGCTCTCGGTCTTCTTGGGCAGCAACACCGCCTGGATGTTGGGCAGGACGCCGCCCTGAGCGATGGTCACACGGCCCAGCAGCTTGTTGAGCTCCTCATCGTTGCGGATAGCCAGCTGTAGGTGGCGAGGGATGATACGCGTCTTCTTGTTGTCGCGGGCCGCGTTGCCAGCCAGCTCCAGTATCTCGGCCGTCAGGTACTCGAGCACCGCCGCCAGATAGACCGGMGCCCCGGCGCCCACCCGCTCGGAGTAGTTGCCTTTGCGTAGCAGCCGATGCACACGGCCCACGGGGAACTGAAGACCAGCTCGGGAAGAGCGAGTCTTGGCCTTGGCCCGCGCCTTTCCGCCCTGTTTGCCGCGTCCAGACATTCTTGTGAGAACACAACCAACAAACAATCGAAGGAAAACCAAAAACGAAATGGTGTAAGAGGGGCTACAAGAAGCTACTTATAGTGGTAGGTAGAATTCCAAATGGCGAATTTGGATTGGTTAAAATTTTCATTTGCTATTCACCCAATAAGAAAGGATCTATGATGCAATCAAATTTGCATATGTAACGTCATCAATACATTTTCAAATCACATCTAAAMGTTTTTCAATCCCTTATTTGCATACAAGCCCTATAAAAGAAGAGGCCCCAAACAGACTCCATCATTGCGTTTCTTTCTTTTTTCTTGTTGTGTCTAATTTACGGCGAAATGCCTGAGCCTGCGAAGTCCGCTCCTGYCCCGAAGAAAGGCTCCAAGAARGCGGTGACCAAGGCGCAGAAGAAGGAYGGCAAGAAGCGCAAGCGCAGCCGMAAGGAGAGCTACTCTGTGTACGTGTACAAGGTGCTCAAGCAGGTGCACCCCGACACCGGCATCTCGTCCAAGGCCATGGGAATCATGAACTCGTTCGTCAACGATATCTTCGAGCGCATCGCGGGCGAGGCCTCGCGCCTGGCGCACTACAACAA